GCCGCGTCAAAAAGATCCTCACCCCATCAAGCGCGCCCGCCCCCTTTCTTGCTGCACCTCAACTTCTCGGCATCTGCGCTCTCTCCCTCTCTCTCTCTCTCTCTCTCAAACCGCCGGTTCAGTCACTCACGACAAACGCGCGCAGCCATCGGCTTCGCCTCGACTTGACTGGCGCGCTCTGAAACCAAAGGGAGAAGCATAAAGAACAGGCCGCTGGAGCATCGGCAGGTCAGCCACCCAAGTCCGAGCTCTCCTCCATCTTTTCGCCTTCCCTGGCTCTCGACCATTCTCCGGTCTTCACAGCAAGCCCGCACCCCAGGTGCCGTACAGTAGACGGGCCGTCCTGGGCGTGTATCGTCTTGTAGAGCCAGTCGCCAAAAGGTCCAGCTTGGCAGACCTTGTGTGCGCCGCTGCCATTGCACATCCGCTCTGGCATTGCCCCAGCGCAACGCCCCCGAAATCGCAACTCTTCTTCTCGGTTGTGAAGGAGCACAGCCTCTCAGTGTTGGAACGCCATTTGTCCAGCCTCAACCAGGGTTGCGACAGCGCACGTTTAGTTGCAGGCCGCAAGTCGCAATACGTCGCTGGTCGGCAGCTAGCCACTTACTGCAGCTTGACGAGGGCCTTCGTTCAAAAGCCGCGGAACCCCACCCGCTTTCTCGACGCGCGCAAAACCTTGAATCGGAACAAAGGCCACTCTCCCCAGATACTGACCCAGGCCGATCCAGCTACGTCGCGTTTTAGCCTCGCGATCGTCATCTCGTTTCTCGCAGCTTTTCCCCACCTGCGCCATTTGCCGGGCACCGTTTGCCGCATCTAGCGTGTACCACTGGGCCCTACGTTGCAGCAGCTCGCCAAAGACCACTCGCTGCCTGCCTCTCGGCCCGAATCTTCTACTGTAGTACCTACCAGTGACGCGCAAAAGCAGTCTCACTCATCCCGGCGCGTAATCAACTCACTGACGGTCGCGTCTCATACGTCGCATCACGTCCAAATTCTACCAATTGCTCTCCTATTGCATTTAATTTTGATTGCGATTAACAGTCAACATATCGCCATCGCGTCCTCCTCGCCCAGACACCATGTCTGCGTTCACGGCCCTGAATGGGGGGTCGCCCAAGGCAACAGAACCGCCGGCGCCAGAGTCTCGGAAGACGCCTCCCGAAGAGCGGCCAACTGCGCAATCCACGTCCCAGGCTTCACCTAAACCCCCATCGAGCGAAGTTGCCAGCAGTCAACGGGATGCTTGGCCTGCCCCTGCCCACGATAGGCCAAGTTTTCAGTCTGCGTCCTACCCTGACGTTGAGGGCTCTCACAAGAGAAAAAGATCTGACTCATCCGAGCCTCGCAGGGAGAGGGAACCCCAGTCGCAGCCTATCCAGGAGAGAACCCCGGACACAGCAACCCAACCGCACCCACCAGAGTCGCGTGAAGCGTATGGCACGCCACAGCGTGAGCGCGAACACCGTCAGTATGCCGAAGACAGTCGAGATCCCAATGATCCCTGGTACTCCCGAGAGGGACGTGACGAAAGAGGCTACTATGATGCCCAGCATTCGGCCTCAACCACCCAAGGCCAGACGGAAGAGCAGATCGGCGATGCCCTACGAAGGGTGACTGGTCAGATGGACAACCACAGCGACTACGGCAACAGCCCAGAAGGTGACGACCATGACCGGTCCATGAGCGTATACGGACCCTACACTCCTGGAGGCTCGCGCGATCACGTCCTGCAGTCAGATCCCAAGAAGCGCAAACGCAACTTTAGCAATCGCACCAAAACTGGCTGTCTCACCTGCCGTAAGCGCAAGAAGAAGTGCGACGAGCAGAAGCCCGAATGTAAGTCGCCGTACCCAGACTGGCGAGAGCCGCCTGCTGACCCTTGCATCAGGTATCAACTGCATCCGCGGTGGCTTCCTCTGCGCAGGGTACCCTCCACAGAGGAGTACGGGCTGGCAGAAGCCAGACAACAAAGCTGCCGCCGTTCCGCTGGAATCCAAAGACCCCAGCTACGTACCTCCAGGCGCATATGGCATGCCGCAACAGAACCCTTATGGGAGCCAGCCAACTGTCACGCCTCGTCGGGATCCTCTTCCTCCCTATGGCCGAGGCCAGCCGTTGCGAATTGATCCTCCTCAGGGACGGCCCATCCTAACCGATGATGACAGGGCCACTGCCTCGACGATCCCCAGCGCCTCAGTCGCAAGCCCGGATCTCAAGCTTTCGGCCCTTCCATACACACCGGCCAATGTGTTCCCAACGCCTGTCAGCGCCCAAGCCCCTTCGCAGCAGAGTGGCTTCTCGGAGAGAAAGGAGTTTCAGGCGCCGCGCGTGCCACCTTTGCACGACATGGGCCGGAGCGAGCCCGAAACGCCTCATCCGGGCAACACTCTTCCCCAGATCAACATTCTCCATCCGACCCGTGCCAACAGCCCAGCCCCGCCACCCTCCACGAGCAATGCACAGGTTGCGGCGCAGCTGGCTTTGTCCCACACGCAATATGCGGGCAGCAGACAGCGGACGCAGAAAGGAAGAGATGCTTTCGGGCAGACACTATTATCCATTCGATAAGGAGCTCGTTTTGGAGCGAGAGCGGTGCAGCGCAGCATGCTGGCGGGTTCAAACAACTCGACGAATCCGAACAACGGCGTCTCGCCCATCGAGCGTGCCCGTCTCTTCCGCGAAATCCTGCAGCCACGCGATCCCATCCAGATTTCGCCCTCGG